TATATATATATATATATATATATATATATATATATTTGTGTTGGATTTTTATAATTTTTGTACGAGGAAGCATATATGATACTTTTTTTACAGCAAAAAATATATATGCATACTTTTAAAAATTTAGAAGCAACTTATTTTACAAAATAAAAGCTATATTATAACTAAATTAAATAAGCTATATGTTATAACTAAATTAAATTGAGAATATATTATATATTTTGCTTCTTTTTTTTTCTTTTTTTTTTTTTTACAATTTTATATATGAGGAAACATTTAAAATGTGCGTACTTATAAAAAAAAATTGGAAGCATCAATATTATTTATGTTACTAGAGAGTTTATTTCCAGAGCGTCTATTAAGATACATATATTTTCTTAGTAATTTTATATATAATTTTTATATTGTTATTAAGATATATTTGTTGCTGACTCTTAATGTATAGTTTCAATCAACAATTAATTGTAGAATGTAATCTTATTATTATTGTGCTTTTAATCCCTTTTTTGAGGTAAAAGTGACTAAAATGTCCTTCCTTTGAACAAACATTTTTTTAGAGAAATTTTTTTAATTGTTAATAATTTTATATAATAAAATTATAAAATATAAAAAAATATTACTAAGATGTGAGATCTATAATTTTTGATAATTTTTTTGACATCATGATTTTTAATCAATAAAAAAAATATACGTTTAAAAATGTGATTTCTTTTATATAGTGGCATTTTATTAATAATACTACTAGAAGTACGTTCAAAATTAGATTTAACAAAGGGGGTGTAAGAAGCATGGGCCCTGAACATTGGATACGTTTGTCATCATGTCCAGACTCAAAAAACATAATTAGGCCCAGTCCGGAAGATAGGAAATGTATAAAAATGTGTATTTTTATTTTAAGCCCAAATTGGGAAACAAATTTGTGTCCTTGTCTCTTTGGTGTTGTTTTGTCTATCAACAGCCAACGAAGGAATAGATATAATGGATTCTAGCAGGAGAAACTAATTTTTTTTTTTAGGTTCGTTCCTGGAGTATCCACCGCCGACAGCAGTGACTAATCTCCTCGCTACGTTGGAGGCACCTCAAAGGGTGGGATAGCTGGCCCCAAGATTTAACGCGGCTGCATACACAAGGCAGGAGAAACTAATTTAATATAAAGTGATGAATTATTATTGGAAATTTTTATTAGAAATTAGTTCACACAGTGTTTCTAATTATTTATTCAGTAAGAACAACGTTTCTAAAATTTTGTACTAATAAAATTATAGTTTAATTGAATAATAATAAAATTATATTAAATAAATATAATATATAATTTTGCAATAGATGAACTAAAATAAACCATAAACATATTAAAATCAAAGTGGGCGAAGAAATGCAAATTGTTAAAATGTTAAAAAACTAAGTGAGAGTTGTGGCCTTGAGGGATTGAAAGACCAATGATATTGTAAACTAAGTTATTTTTAAATTATAATAGTTAGTTAAAATATAATTAACATTTAATTTATAGGTTTTTTGGAGATATTTTCAAAATTTCTTTTTTACTTGAATATCTTTGATGGAATTTTAAGAAATAATTCTTTAATTTTTTATTTTCATAAATATATAATTATATAAATTGACCATCTTAAGTTGAGTAAATTGACTACCTTTCGAGTGATCACCTAACAGTCAAAGAAAATAATAATCTTTGATTGAAAAACTAATCAAAACATGCTATCAAAAAATCGATAAACAGATAGGAGGAAATTATTTATTTATTTATTTTATTTTTACTGATTGGAGGAAAGCTATAGCAATTGAAAAGGTTATAAAAGGCAATAACAAAAATAAAAAAGTAGAAATCCTAAAGACATATTGAGAGTTTTGTCATAGGACAATTACTTCTCATGAAAGATACTTGTGACTTGTGAGCTACAGAAAAAGCAAAACTTTAAAATATATAATCTTTATATTAACATTTAATATTAAACACTGTTTATTTATTTATTTTAGTACTCAAAATAGTTATTTAACAAATTAAATATCATGATTAATAAAAATATTATATAATATGTAAAACTTTTATATATAACATTTATTTTTACTTACGAATATACTTGGAGACATAATTAAAAAAATTAAATACAAATAAAAAAATTATGAAAAATAGTAATATATATATATGCATTAAATTCATTAGATCTATTAATTTTTTTATCATGAAAAAAACGACAATAAAATTTATATTTAAGATTATGTGTATATTATAATATTATATCTATCACATATTTTATAATGTATATTTTTCATATTTTATAAGTACTCGTAAATATACAAAAATCTTATTAATATAAAGAACCTTTTTTTTTGTCATTTTTCTACTATTAATAATTATTTAGTAAAATGCATATTATAATTAAAAAAACTTTATTTTTATAACATGAAATACGTGTAATAAAATTAAAATCAACATTATTTAAACACATAGTATAAAATAATGAAACTTAAAATATTCATTCCCGATCTTCAATAAAAATTATGATAAATGTTTCATACATATTATATGGTTGTTAAAAAGAAAGAAAGTTAAAGCGTATAAATAGAATAATAAATACAAAACACTTGACATTAGGAATTTAAAATCCAATACGCACTGTTAAAACTTAGTAGTAATAAGTTTTTAAAGTTGCGAAATAATTAACAATCATTCAACTACTTTAACAAAAGCAATTTACATATATCCAATATTACGACTATGGCTTCTTTATTTTACCTCTATTTGAAGTAGGAAAATAGCTTTTTAAAGTAACACTAATGTTTACATTATTCACTTTTTGATTGATACTTTATTGTAGAAACAAATATTTTATCTGTTTCCTTTTGCACCTCAGAAATTATTTTTTGTAGTAAATCGTAATGAGAATATAGCAAAATAATTGTAGTTTACATGGGCAGCTTCCGTGGAAAGTGAAAAGGCAAATGATAAAAAGTTAGCAACAGTGTCAAAAGCAAATAAAAAAAGTATAAAGACGACTGTGACTGGTAAATTATTCTCATCACGATTCCTTTCTTAACTTTATTCTTCTTACTTGTGCCGCTTCAAATATATGAAAATACTATTTTTCTTTCTTTCTATCTTATATAATAAATGTTATTATATTATAAAGTATTTTAAAATAAATATTATGTTACTTTTTAATATATTATTAATTATTTTTTATTTGTATAACTTAATACTACACTTGTTTTTTTTAATGAATAAGAATGTAAATAATATAATTAAAAGAAGGACTAATGCCTTAAAATACAAATATCTATAATATCGATTCCAATGATACATAATAAGGATGAAGGACACTATTTCATAATGATAAAATCAATAAATGAGAGTAATGTACTACACTTACTTTATGAAACAAGAATAATGTGCTAAGAAAGTAATGTACTAATAATCTAAATATAAATCGTAAGTTAACGTTTACTTCACAGTATATTAAATTTAGTGAAATAGAACAAGACATGTAGTCATATACTTTTTAAATTAAAACCACAAAGAAATATGCAATTTTAGAAAGAGAAAGTAACGTATTACATACGTTTACACGTTTGTTTCAATTTTTGCTATATTCCCATTATGATTTAGCATATAAATAAATTGTGGAGTGTAAAAGGAAAGAAATGAAATATTTTTATATTTGAAACTTTAAACTTTAAAGTCTAGAGTGGATAGTGAATGAGGAAGACAAAAAAGGAGAAGGAGTTGGTATTCTACGCGAAATCTAGTAAGCAACAGTTGGCATTCGCGGGGACCACACACTTGCCTCAACCCTACTGTTTTCTACCATATTATTATATTATTACTACTTTTAATCAAATTATCATAATTACATTTTCTCAAATACTCATTATAAAATTCAATAATTTATAGTAAATTATATTTTATAACAAGACGAAACTATAAATGTTTTTTTATATATTCAAACTAAATTGAATTTTCTTATTTTGTTTGTTTATTTATTTTTCTCTTGCATTTAAAATGTAGGATCCTGATTTTCCTTTTTGTTTTGGTTGTTACCTAAAAGTGATTCATATACAGCGGTATTTCTGTCTTTTGTTTTGATTCTCCGCTCTCCTACTCTGGAGGTGGGACCTTCCCTGATCCCTCCCACTCCCACTCCCACTCCCACCCCATTTTTCTTCCTTTTAAATTTTAATGATTTCATTATCAAAAAAACGACCCAACGAAACGATTAAGCAAAATAGCATTTCATTCTAAAAAGAATTTAGTGATGTAAGAAAATAGACGTAAGTATTTATGTATGAAATTCTTGCTTTAATTACCGAACCTGACATTGGTGATTTAAAAAAAGAAGCAAAAATAATTGTGTCATGTCACCAATGTGATGAGCCTGAGGTTGGCGCAGTTATGAGTTATCATCTTCTCTGCTTCCATTCTCTTGGACTGTACAAATACAAACCAAACACCACACATTCTCCCAAATCTGAATGGCTGCCCCCAAATTAAAACTCCAAACCCTACTCTGTAAGCTCTTTCTGCTTCTCTCCGTCGCCTGCACCGCCACCGCCGATGACGCCGCCTTCATGGCCAAGCTGGCGAAGGCGCTGAGCCCCACGCCCTCGGGCTGGTCGGGGAGCAGCTTCTGCGACTGGAAGGGCGTCAAGTGCAGCGCCAACCGCGTCACCTCGATCAGCCTCGGCTCGCAGAAACTCACCGGAACGCTCCCTCCGGATCTCAACTCGCTCTCCCAACTCACCACCCTCTCTCTCCAGCACAACGCGCTCGGCGGCGCGTTGCCCTCACTCGCCAACCTCTCCATGCTTGAAACCGTGTTCCTGGACGCCAACAACTTCACCTCCGTCCCCGACGGCTGCTTCCAGGGCCTCACCAGCTTGCAAACCCTAAGTATGACCGACAGCGTCAACCTCGCGCCCTGGACGCTTCCTGCCGAGTTGACTCAGTCCACCAACCTCGCCAACCTCGACCTCGGTAACACGAACCTCGTTGGCTCCTTACCTGATGTGTTCGACTCGTTCGTGAGTTTGCAGGAACTTCGTCTCTCTTACAACAATCTCACTGGGGTCTTACCCAAGTCCTTCGCGGGATCTGGGATTACGAATCTATGGCTCAACAATCAGAAGGACGGTTCTGGGTTTTCAGGTCCCATTGACGTGCTTTCTGGGATGACTCACTTGTCTCAGGTTTGGCTTCACAAGAACCAGTTCACGGGTCCCATTCCGGATTTGTCAAATTGTACTAGTTTGTTCGATCTGCAGCTTCGGGACAACCAGTTAACCGGTGTGGTTCCACCTTCTCTCATGTCACTTAGAAGCCTTCAGAATGTTTCTCTGGATAACAACAAGCTTCAGGGTCCTGTTCCTTCCTTTGGGAAAGGTGTGCAGTTCACTCTCGACGGGATCAATAGCTTTTGTAGGAAAGATGCTGGACCCTGTGATTCTCGTGTCACCACCATGCTTGATATTGCGAAGGATTTCGGGTATCCCCTTAAGTTGGCGAATTCCTGGTCGGGGAATGATCCTTGTAATGATTGGAGTTTCGTTGTGTGTGCGGAGGGGAAGATTATTACGGTGAATTTGGCTAAGCAGAATTTGACGGGAACGATTTCACCTGCGTTTGCTAATTTGACTGATTTGAGGAACTTGTATCTTAGTGGTAATAATTTGGAAGGTTCAATCCCGGGGAGCTTGACGAGTTTAGCCCAGCTTGAGGTTCTGGATGTGTCTAATAATAATCTATCCGGTGATGTTCCCAAGTTCTCAAGCAAGGTGAGGTTCAATGCTGCAGGTAATGATTTACTTGGGCGTTCTGGTGGTGGTGGCGGTGGAACTACACCGTCGAAGGGTTCTGGTGATGCACCGAGTGGAAGTCCAAACGCGGGGTCGAGTGGTTCTTCACTTTCATCTGCTTGGATTGCAGGTATTATTATTATTGCTGTGTTTTTTGTTGCGGTGGTTGTGTTTGTCTTTTGCAAGTGTCATGCTAAAAACCGGCATGGGAAGTTTGGGAGGGTTAATAATCGGGAAAATGGGAAAGGAGAGGTTAAGATTGATATGATGAGTGCGAATTCCAATGGATACGGTGGTGTTCCGAGCGAGTTGCAAAGTCAGGGAAGTGAGCGTAGTGATCTTCATGTTTTTGAGAGTGGGAATGCTACTATTTCGATCCAAGTTCTTCGGCAAGTAACTGAAAATTTCAGTGAAAAGAACATTTTGGGCAGGGGAGGATTTGGGGTAGTTTATAAAGGGGAATTGCATGATGGAACTCAGATCGCTGTGAAGAGGATGGAATCTGTTGCTACGGGGAGTAAGGGATTGAATGAGTTCCAAGCAGAGATTGCAGTTCTCACTAAAGTAAGGCACAGGCATTTGGTGGCTCTTTTAGGATATTGCATTAACGGCAATGAAAGGCTTTTGGTGTACGAGTATATGCCTCAAGGGACACTAACGCAACACCTGTTCGATTGGCGTGATCATGGCTGTGCTCCCTTGACCTGGAAACAGAGGGTAGCGATAGCTTTGGATGTAGCTCGGGGTGTGGAATACTTGCACAGCTTAGCTCAGCAAAGCTTCATTCACAGGGACTTAAAACCCTCCAACATATTATTGGGTGATGACATGAGAGCCAAGGTTGCAGATTTTGGTTTGGTTAAAAATGCACCAGATGGGAAGTATTCTGTTGAGACACGGTTAGCTGGAACATTTGGATATCTGGCACCTGAATATGCAGGTATATTTGGAAAGCCTTTGACTATAATTTTGTCTTAATTTTTTTGAGTTTTTCTTATTTATTTCCTTATTTGGTTATAAGTTATAACTATACGTGACTTCATCAATTCTTTATATTTCTTGAACTAGTAACTGTGATTCTTTTAAAAATGATTAGTTATTTACATTTTTTGTTTTCTAGCTAAATTTTGTGTTTTCCTATGGATCTCTTGGGTGGATGGTTTTGGGCCACATTATGTGTTGTGGCCTTTATTGAGGGAGATGGCGAATACTCTGATTAGATTGAATCTTGGATTGCTGAATATGTTCTGTTACATTCTCCTCCTGATACTTAAAGTATTAAATGAAAAAGTTAATGCATTAGTGTCATGGGGACATAAAAAGTATTTAATACAACTACCAATTAGGAGAATTGGTTAAGAATATTTAGAGTTATTTTTAATCTATTGTAATAGATTTGGGTAGCACCATAGCAGATTATCAGTTCCTTCTTCTGTTGTTACTGTTTACTGTTGGGTTCCCTGGTGGCCTGACATGTCTTAGTTACAATGTTCGTCCATTCAATTGTGAATTCCACTTTTCCACTGAGATGCATTTGTGCATTTTTAAAAGCATGTCCTAAATTTTTTTTGTACTCACTACGTTTGTAGTATGAAGAATGTTTGTCTTGTTTTATTTTCGTAGGACTACACAGTTTTAGCTAAGCTAGTTCTTGTTGCATCAAAAGCAATTGCTTGCGTTAACTTTATGCTAGCCCATTCCTTTACTTGTAATTAATGTGATCTTGTTTCTTGCCAGCTACTGGAAGAGTGACGACCAAAGTAGATGTATACGCATTTGGAGTAGTTTTAATGGAACTGATTACTGGTAGAAGGGCATTGGACGATACTGTGCCTGATGAAAGGTCTCACTTAGTTTCCTGGTTCCGTAGGGTACTAATTAACAAGGAGAACATCCCAAAGGCAATTGATCAAACACTTGATCCCGATGAGGAAACCATGGAAAGCATATATAAAGTGGCTGAGCTAGCAGGCCATTGCACTGCTCGTGAACCATACCAAAGGCCTGATATGGGGCATGCAGTGAATGTCTTGGTTCCTCTGGTAGAGCAATGGAAGCCTACCAGCCATGAAGAAGAAGAAGGTTATGGCATTGACCTTCACATGAGCCTTCCTCAAGCTCTGCGAAGATGGCAAGCCAATGAAGGCACTTCCACAATGTTTGACATGTCCATCTCACAAACTCAATCAAGCATTCCCGCAAAACCTTCAGGATTTGCAGACTCCTTTGATTCAATGGATTGCCGGTGACAAAAATGATAAACGGGATAACATCCAATTGCTTCTCAGGTGGGAGGACCGGAAGAGAACATTGTTAAGCTGTTTTGATCTCGCAACATCACTGAATTGTATCACACAATTTATTTATTTTTTAAATGTTGATTTTTTTTTTGTTCTTGCAATCTCCTTTTGTACAAGTCTGAGATGTCCTTTGTTAATTTTTTAAAGCTAACGAATTGGTTTTAGTTGATGGTTGGGTTATTAGATGAGAAGTATTATAGAAATGTTAAATTGTATGATATTTTCCAACATTTTTTTCAATCAGAAGAAAATTGATTGCATTTAGTTGTTTTATGGCCAATTGCTTTCTCCTGGGTTTTTGGACCAGCCATTTGTAAATTGTGATGCTTGTAATTCACTGTCAATGCCGCGTAAATCAACAGCAATACTCCAGATGGAGCATTCTAATCTAATGAAAGCTATAGCATGAACAATTCAAACTTTCAAGGTAAATCAAGCTGCATCATCGGCATAAAGAGGTCCCTTTAGCATCTTTTAAACCCCTTTGTTTACATCTTTTGTTTTCTTGGTCTTTTTGGATACCATTTTTTTATTCTGCTTACATTTTCCCTGTTTTCTTCCTTTCCTTTGGGTCCGGCTTCTGTGGCATAACAGAGTGATTGATTTGAATGGAAAATAAAATAAATATAGACGTGCAGGGAGACTTTTTATACCCACCAAAATTCTTGTTGATGGTGGCAGATGACCTTAATTTCAGTTGAGGAGCCTACACGTTTGCGCATATTGCGGTATTTTAAGGCTAGACTTTATAAACTACGCAAACCAGATAGGTGACTTTTGTAACAAAGCACATGCTGTGGGCTCCGTTACACATGCCATGATTTGACAATGTAGATTCTACATATATGCCAGCCAACACTAAACCGCCATGTAACACTACTCACCACCAAGACGGTGGAACCTCAATTTGTCTTCTTGTCTTGTTTGGCTGTCTTCTCTATTCTCTCTATAGTGATAGTTATGCATACTGTCTCACCAAAAGTTAAATGATTACTTACAGATTATTTTATACACAATATTATTTCCAACGGTTTCTTAATTGAGCAACCGTTTGAAGATTAAATTTACATCAAGTATTGGTTTAATACAACAATTAATTATGAAAATTTTAGATTTTTTTAATTAGATCTCTGAACTAAAAAATATATAGTTTAGGTTTTATTTTTTATATATATTTTTTAATTTGGTCCTTAAAATTACAAATTTATTTACAATTCATGAAATTTTACTGATAATTACACAAAATAATAATATAATATAGTTGAACAGGTATATAAATATTGAAAATATTTTTGTAAAATTTTACATATTGTAAATGAGTTTCTATCACGAGAACTAAATCACAAAGTTATAGAGAGAGATGGATGACTAAATTACAAATATTTTTAGTTTAAGAGCTTAATTGGAAATTTTTAAAAAATTTAAGGATTTAAGGATGTATTAAATTTGGATAAGAAATTTTAGAAATTCATGAAATTTAAAATTCTTAAAATTTTTAATTTGAAATAGTTTTAATTTAAAATTAATATTAGATAATATTTAATAATCTTTAATAAATATTTTGTTTAAATAAGTCAATTCAAATTTATTAAATTTTAAATTCTTAATTTAGATATAGTAATTTGATTTTCACCATAGGTGAACTTAAATTTAATATATATATTGAGATTTTTAAGATTATATTTTATAAAAAATAAATGTTAGCTATTTTTTAAATATTTAAAAGTTTAAAAAGTTAATATTAGTTAATATTTAATAACTTAAAAATATTTTTGAATGTTCATAGGAGAGAGATAAAAGATATATAGGTGAGATGAGAAAGAGAAAATATGAAAAAATTTAAATCCTTATTTTTTTTTGGAAGAATTTAAAATTTTACTATTTTGAGGAATTTTACAAATACTTGAATTTCAAATTCTTTGTAAATTTTTTATCCAAGGCATTTGAAATTCTTTAAAAATATGAATTATTTCATTTAAATTCTTCATCCAAACACAAGGTTAACATTTGTTAGAATATTTTCATCAAAAATAAAGTTACTATATGTGTTTCTATATATAAAACTCAATTACTTAATTTAGTAATATTAAGAAAAGTAGCTAATTTAGCTTATAATAATAAATTTTTCTTATTTATATATTCTTTTCTAAAACTACCTTGTATTACTTTTATTTCTAAATTAATACTCATATATCTCATAAATTAATTAGAGTGCGTATTTTATACTATTTCTCTCTTATAATTATTTTTTCTTTCTCTTAACCAAGTGGAGAGCATAATTTTTAAAGATTTTATATTTAATGCATTTTTCCAATTAAGAGAACTCGCTTTAATCAAGAATATTTTAGTCTAAAAATAATTAATATATAAAATAATATGAATTAAATTTTATATTAAAAAACAAATAATTATTTTGAATTAAATTTTATAAATAAGAATAGAGGTAATAATATATTATTAATTATGTTTTGTAGTTTAACATGACAAGTGATGAGTTATCATTAATCATTTTGATATTCCAAAAATGTTAAACATATAAAGATTGTTAATTTTATCATAAATGTTAAGTATTACTCGATCTTTTATAATAGTCATTTAAAATAGTTTTACACTTAACATAAAATATAAAATTTCTTATTTTCTATAGAATGATTTTATGTTTTTTATTATATTTTTTTTAATTTTTTCTTCATAATAAATATATATTAATTATTATATATAAATTAATTAAATTTAAGTGAGATATAAGTTTATAGTTATAACATAGTAATTAATGTTTTTTAAAATTTAAAAATAACAAATAAAAGAAACAAAAATTTTACTTAAAATGTGACAGATTAAAAAGGAATGGAGGAATTACTTCATTAAATATGATTACCAAACTAGGAGTGTAATAATGACTTACCTTTTATACCAATATATCGTTAAAAATACGGATTTACATTCTATCATATATATATGTTGTGCTTGTGCCCCTAACATTAACAATAAGATTACTTAACGATAAACATTTAACCTATCAAAAATTGATTATCATGATTATTGAGATAATATAAAAAAAAAAATTAAATTATTTGAATTTAATATATAATAATAATAAACAAAATAATTCTACCTAAAAATAACTTGAACCCTCTACGTATAAATAATAGTTATATCATGAGAGGTGTAAAAAAAATAATCCTGATCATAATATAGATGACAATTATTTTTATTAATATATCTTAGCCATTCAATTAAATTATGCAGTTGAATTTGTTCTTCTCATCTCTCCTACTTCTACTTATTATATAATAATAAAAATTGTTAATATATACTTTTTATAAAAAAAAATAAGAATGTATTATATGTTAATCTTCTTATAATACTTTTTTTAATGATAATCCTCTTATTATCTTAAAAAAAGTATTAAATTTAAAATAAGTATATTAATATATTAGCTAAAAATATAAAAACATTTGATATAAGAATTAAAAATATTAAAAAGTATATTACCTTTAAAGAGAAATTAAGATTTTTCGACCTATAATGTTAATATATGTGATGCTCTTTTAAAGGGAAAACAAAAAACAAAAAAGTGATTTGTGATTTTGAACTGTCGTCAAAGGTAAGGTAACTTGGGTAGTTGAAAATAATTGATAGTTGGTGATCGAGATGTGAAAGATAGGAATTATTGGAATTAATTTGTCGCCAGTTAAGATATACAAACGGTTGTTGGGTTAACCAGAACTTGAACACTATGAGCAAGCTATGGAAAAAAAAAAGAGTAAACAAATGTTAGAGGAATAAGTTAAATGTTATTGTGATTAAACAAAGTTGAATATTGTCACATCTACAAATGAGAGAAGGGTAATTAAGGGAAAAGGCATGGAGACTGAAGCTGGCACATCATATAAGGGACAGGTGGCAACTAATTCATGGAAGGTGGACGTGCGGAAAAATGAAAGAAATAGAATATCAAATTCATGTTGGAAGGACTACGTGTGAGAGCATGATGATATATAGCCAATTAGTTACAAGAGAGAGAGTATGGAAAGGCTGATTCTCGTTTTCTCTCTCAATATTTCCCTACTTTCGTTATTTCCTTCTCTGTATCTGCTGCTATTCACAGTAACTCAACTTTTCATTGTAAGAAACTCATAGTGCAAATAATACTTAGAGAGGAATTTTCATAATCATTGATCAAAGTTAATTTTTCACATTACAAACTGGTGCTTTCATTTTTGTCATGGCGGAAAATACTCGTTTGAAAGAACTCTCCTCTGATGTGAAGCGCATTCTGGAATGGATGGAAAATCGCGATAAAGAGGATTCAACTAGATTTAAGACATTAGAATCTGCTGTGGATGAATTGATGAAACAAAGGCCAATACGAGAAACCAACGGTGGTGCTCCGGCTCAACCGTTCCAGGTAAGAAACGTTAAATTGGATTTTCCGCGTTTTGACGGTACTGATGTGCTTCAATGGATTTTCAAAGCAGAGCAATTCTTTACTTACTATAACACTCCTGATGCACAACGACTTACCATTGCTGCTATACACCTGGATAAAGACGTAGTTCCGCGGTATCAAATGATGACTCGCACCCATCCATTTCATTCATGGGTTGATCTTACAAGAGCTTTGGAGATAGAATTTGGTCCTTCACCGTATGAATGTCCTAGATCACATTTGTTCAAATTGACACAGACTGGGTCAGTGCATGATTATTATGTGCAGTTCACTTCTTTGGCGAACCGTGTGCATGGAATTACCACTGATGCTCTTCTGGATTGCTTTGTGGGTGGTTTAAAACCTGAGATTAGGAGGGATATATGTTATTGCCCAGGCTCCTACCACTTTGATCCGATCTATTTCGTTAGCCAAGTTATACAAAGAAAAATACATTCCTAAACACAAACCATACCAAACTACCCTACCCTTATCCCAAACCCTTCGGACTACCAGTTCACCACCATTATTGCCTACCCCAAACCAAAGTTCTCTCGTTAACAAGATTAAGAAGATTTCTCCTGCAGAGATGCAATTAAGAAGGGAGAAGGGATTGTGTTATACGTGTGATGAGAAGTTCTCTTCCACTCATAGATGTTCCAACAAGCAGTACCTTCTTTTACAATTAGAAGAGGATGATATTAATGAGCCGGAACCTGACCCTCCTGATATACTGGGTGCTATTTCTAATTTGAGTTTGCAGCAACCTCACTTATCTTACAATGCCTTGAAGGGTTCCTCGGGTTTAGGCACCATGAAGTTCCAAGTGTCAATCAATGGCCTTTTAG